CATCTTCCAAATTTAGTCTCACAAGGAAGAATAGATTACTATAGTGAGTAATAATGAGTCACAAGGAGCACAGTTCCATGCCCTTGCTAATGAACAATGCAGAAGAAGATAACAGGGCTGAGAAAGAAAAGGGGGGCAGAAATTGCAGAAACTTCAACACACTAATAAAATGCTCCCAAATAAAAATAGCTAGCACAAATATCCCCAAATGCCATGCATCACAGTGCATTTCCAGGAATTAATGGTTCATCTGATTAAAACAGAGATTTTAAAGTACAATTTGATTACTTAAATATTGCCAGGCCAGACAGAGTGACCAGAACAAGATAATGGAGTCCGGTTGGGGAACACAGGGAAAATTCAGGAATTACATCATTTATAGTGCTTTTCAAGTCCTGGCCTTAGCAAGCTTTTCAATGAGTGCATGGAACATTAGTGATTTTCATTTCCTCCCTGTCGGGACATATCTCTGGCATTTAAATATTACGCTGCAGCCGGGACCAGTTTGGCTTAGTAGATAGAGCGTCGGCCTGCGGACTGAAAGGTCCCGGGTTCAATTCCGGTCAAGGGCATGTACCTTGGTTGTGGGCACATCCCCAGTCGAGGGTGTGCAAGAGGCAGCTGGTTGGTGTTTCTCTCTCATCGACATTTCTAACTCTCTATCCCTCTCAATTCCTCTCTGTGTAAAATCAATAAAATATATTAAAAATAAATAAATAAATAAATAAATAAATAAATAAATAAATAAATAAATATTACACTGCAGAATGTTCACTGTAGACAAAAGAGTTAAAGCCATAGGCATTAATTCAATGCAACTCTAAGAGGCAGGGGTGGGGCTAGTGGAAACAGTAATATAACAGGAGAAAAACTAGCTTTGCTTGATTTTCACTATTAAATACCATTCCTTGCCAAGAATAAGACTGTTGAAAAGTAAAATCATTTCATACTTTTTCTCTTTGAGAATAAGCAAGGATTTTTTTTAAGACTAAGAAGGACCATGGAAGCGATGGATGTCAGCCTTCAAAATTGTGGGAGTTCAGACTCAGCTGGAAGACAGGACCCAGACTCTGACTGATCACCATGCTGCAGAATATGGACACTGAAAGATTATGTTTAAGCGAGGCCCCTCCCTCATCTCCAGAGAGAGCTGTACTGAAAACTAAGATACCATTATAGTTGGCCCTTCACATCCGTGAATTCAAACATATCAAAAATATTGGGGGAGGGGATATTACGTTTTTGCTGAAATGTACTATGTAGTTAGGCCTATAATGGCCGTCTGTACTGAACAAGTACAGACTTTTTTATTATTATTATTATTATTATTATTCCCGAAACAATACAGTATAACAACTATTTACACAGCATTTACACTGTAGTAGGTATCAGTAATATAAAGATGATTTAAGGTGTATGAGTGGATGTACATAGGTTATATGCAAATATTACACCACTGCATATAAGAAAATTGAGCTTCTGTGGACTTCGGTATTCTTGGGAATCCTGAAATTGCTAGCAGCGATCAGGACCAGATATTAGACTTCAATTCTAAGAAAAAAATAATTCAGAGCCAAGGAACTCAGATACAAGTGAAAGTTTATCTAGAAAATCATAATCAAGTGAGCCAGGGAGGAAGTAAGCCAATTAGGCTGCCTGGACTCTGGAAGCAAGTCACTGAGGGGGGAAAAAAAAAAAAAAGAAAAGAAAAAAAAAGCACCTGGGGGAAGGAAAGGAGAAAGATCCCAGCTTGATCCAGAGAGAGCTCTAGCCTGGAGAAAGAAGGAGGTGGGGAAAGGTATGTGCCAGAGAGAGACCTTTGTCTTATGGATGAAAAGGGGCCACATGCTGACTAGCTCAGGGAAGCCCTTCTTGGTGACCTTGAAAACTCAGAGACCTTAAAGTAACCACAAGGACAGTCTAAAATTAACGCTTTTTAACTAAAAGCAATTTATGGCGGGTAGTCATGTCCTTGGCCGGTATCTTCCCTGAGAAAGGTCAATCTTTATCTTAACTGAGCCTATTGTCTTTTTGCATCTACGATAACAAATCCTTGGAATGTCAAAGTAATTTTTCTTTTCCTGGACCCCTCCAAAGCACAGGCACTGCTCTGCAGAGACCACAAATCCCCTCATTGAAGTATGTGTCTATCATTTCACTGTTTACCAAACCCCAGAGGTTCCCCCACCCCCTGCTTTGCTTTCTCCCGCCTCCCTAATCTGGTGATGACCAGTGTATTTCATGTAACCCACCTATATCTCCTCTTTTGATTGTAGTTATAAAACAAGTGCAAAACTGCCATTCTCCAGAGCATTATCTCAATCCGTTGAGATTCTGCTTCCCAGCATTTGTCAACAGTTTGGCTCAAATAAACTCACAAAACAATTCTTACATGAGTTGAAGGTTTTTATCTGGCAGTCCCAGGGGAGGATCTCAATAGAACATTCGTCAGCTTCCCAGGTGTGTTCTTTCAGGGTCCTGGTCTCCACTGATCAGTAGGTGCTGGGGCAGGGGGTCATTTGTCATGGCAGCTGGTCCTGCTGGCAGCCAGTCCTGATGGCAGCCATGGCATTGCCCTGCCTGGCCTTCCTGCATTTCTGGGTCTGGAGCTGAAACACAATTGAGATCTAGATGTTATCTTTAAGGCTTAAGGCTTAAGGGAGTGCTAGTGCAAGGCTTGTATGGAAGTAGTAGGAGGCTATTATCCAGAACCATGAAAGATGTGTTTATGGTTGTGCGGGAGGGGAGGTCCTACATCACACGACCAGTGGTATGCTAGGGGAGGAAAAGTCACCTTGGAGGAGACATCTCACCTTATAATTGCTTCTTGCTAGATATGGGACCTTCCATACTGGTCATGTCTAACTGCCGTCTACAAAACCAACATCCCCCTACCCACCATGGCTACTGAGGGATGACTGTATTGCCTTTCTTAAATATTTTTAAAAGATATTTCCCAATCCTTTCTAATTTGTGAGTCCAAAGTATACAAGTCATCTTCAGTAAATAGCATTTTTTTTTTTCCCCATTGAGTTTACTGAGAGCAAGGGAGAAGGACAAAGTTCAATTGGCTGCCTCTGGCATGCCCATTACTAGGGATCCTGCATCCTGGACATGTGCCCTGACCAGAAATTGAACAGATGACTGGTTCATGAGTCGTGGCTCAAACACTGAGCCACGCTGGCCAGGCATTAGCACAATATTTTTAAAGCTAGAATCTGACTTTTTTTAAAAAAAGATTACAAATTGAAGCCTAGAAAAATATTTAAGGTAGAGTTGTTACTGGAAAGGGGACCTGGCTCTAAATGGGTATGCCTAGGGCCAGCGGGTAGTGTGTGGGTTCTTAATTTCCTGCAGAAAAATTTCACAGCATGAGTTCAGGTGAGTTTTAGAGAACGTTTGTTAAAGCAGGGGAAAGTGAGACAAGAAAGGGCTGGGGGCACATCAATTGGTTGCCTCCCAAACTCACCCTGATCGAGCCTGCAACTAAGGTACTGCCCTTGATCAGGAATCATATCGCAACCCTTAAGTCATTGGGCCATGCTCTAACCACTGAGAAAACCGCCTAGGCTATTCTCTTAACTTCATGTGTCCTTTGGTATGGTTGGCAAATGGCACTATCTGTCTCCCTGAATAGGGTGATTTAAGCTATTTACCCTCTAGTTGGGGAGAAGTGTAAATAATTTATTCTTAAACTAGAGGCCCATTGCATGAAAATTCATGCAAGAATAGGCCTTCCTTCCCCTGGCTTCACTCCCTACAAGTCCTTATTCCTGGCTGCCAGGGAGTCTGCAAGTCTTCACTTCTGTAGCTCCCTCCAGCCTCTGCCTACCCTTCATAGTAGGCATCCCGCCCCACCAGGCTGCATATGCAAATTAACCCAACATCTTTGTTGGGTTAATTTGCATACTCACTCCTAATTGGTTGGTGGGTGCTATGGAGGTATGGTCAATTTGCATATTTCTCTTTTATTAGTGTAGATGTTCTTGGTTTAGGGAACACAGGGATTTTCTAGGTGGCTGCACACTGCTATTTAACTATCTGGTCTCAGTTTCCCTATTCCACTTGTCCTGGTTTACTGGCCTGTCTCAGTCACAACTAAAATTCAGATTTCTGGACAACTTAGGTTAGCATATATTTCCTTACACTATTTAACCTAGCCCTTAAATACCCAAATAAAGAGATACTTTGGTTTCTCCTCTCCCAGCCCAAACTACTTTTTAAAAATAAAATAAATTTCCACTACTCTTGTATTGTTTCCATGGCTCTTGCTTAAAGTTAGGAAAACTTCCTGGTTTTCTACTACTCTAAATGTAGATGACAACATTTTATTTGTAAACAAAAGGTAGAAAAGGACACATTCTCATTTAACAAAGTACACTGAAATGCCTAACTCAAAATGTAAACTATTTCTATAGTAAAGCCTGGGTTAATCTGTTTGGAACAGTGACAAATGGAATTCTTCCCCATCTCTAAGACCTTTTACATTTATTTCTGTGGGAAACTTGAGCTCATGCAAAATATGAGAGATTTGAACATATATGAGATTATTTTGTTTTCATAACTGATTAAATATATTCTTGATTTTGAGGGTCCGTTGACCTCTTACAGGAAACTAATCCCTCCACTCTTCCCACTACCCACTCCCCTCCTTCAACTAAACCTAAATATCTATAAAACACAATTGTTTCACCAATAGCCAAACCAACAAATGTGTCTTGTTAGCTGTGTCCATAAAAGGGACATTCTCAATTGTATGAGCACATCACAAACCACAGACTTGCAAAATTCTTGAGATTTTGAAATGTGTGGGGAAGGGAAGAGGGGAGTAGCAAAGAGTTCTTCTAAGTTTATTGGGTTTTTCAACAATGGGTGGTCAGACAAAATCCAACTACCACTTTTAAGAAAGTGAAGGGTTAGAATTTAAATTTGAAGATAAGTTTAAGAAAGGAGAAAATAGGATAACACATGAACATAGTTTTATCCATCACAAACTGTACCAAAACAGAACCAGAAGTTGTTGTTTATTATATAAGGGGCTTTAAGACTAGTAGGATTTCAAGAAATATACCTTAACCAATTAATTTTGGATATGAGCTAAGATTTACTACAGGAATATTCATTAAAGCATTGTTTATACTATTAGCAAAAGTTTGAAAATATCTGCAATACTAACTTGGGATTGGTTAAATATTGTTCCATCAATACAATACATATTTAATATATAGACATTAAAAATGATATTTTGGAAGATTATTTACTCATATGGGAACATGACTCCAACAAATCACTAAATGAAAAAAACAAGTCTCAAAACTAAATGTACACTATGATTACTTGTTGCAAGTTTTAAGAAATAAAATCAAATATATGTATACACACATATACATACAATATACACACATGATATACACAGAAAAAAGACTGTACATTTATATAACTCAAAATGTAAACATGTGTTGATTATCTCTAAGAGATTTTTGTTTTCTTTTTTCTGATTTACCTAAAATTTTCAAGAGAATATATGTCACTTTTATAAGGAAAAGAATAGTGAATATTTTATATATATAAATGATTAATTGCATACACATGGAATTTATCAATCTTGAAGCCTTATGAGTCAAAAGCATAAGTTCAAATAAAATTGATTGAAATGAATGGCTACATAAAAAGTAAGAAATGTTCATGGAATATCTCAAATGTGTTTGAAGTTGCTATCACAGATGCAGCAGTCTACTTTCACAAAACCTTCTGAATAACAGCACAGGAGGGAAGAGACACAGAAATTGCTGTCATTGCCAATGACTGGAAAACAGGCTGAATGGATTATCACTCTGACCCAAAAGGACATTTCTGATGTTCTCATGTTTTCTATCACTCCACTAACTTATCTGATAACCCATTGTACAATACATGAGACTGTGTAACAGTTAACACCTGAAACAGTGACATATTCTAAGGCATTCCATTTTTTCTACTTATTTGCACCAATCAATTCTAGAAATTGGCAGGCTGCCCTTGTGTTTTATTTTCCTTCTTACAACATCTAGCTATACTTCTGGTGCTTGTCCTTATCATTTTACTCAAAACATACTCTGGTTACCAGTGACCTTTTCTTAGGTAAACACTAGGGCTTAACATTTTTTTTTTTTTTCAATTCATCTTGGCCTCTCTATAAACATAGAAGTAATCATTGTGGTGTGACTGTCCCAATTTGCATCCTACCCTTTCCTTTTTATCTTTCTGTTAGAGGTTGGGGTTCTAGTCCTTTTTTTGCCTCTAATATCACCTGTATCATCTTGGGCAAGCCACTTTTGTCCTAGTAGGGCATAATTGATATGTGAAAATTGTAAAGCATTTAAAAATATGATTATTGAACTAGATGTGATATCTTCCTCAAAGTCTAAAATTTTATCCTGTACTTTTAAATTGCAGATTGTATTACAGATGTCCCCATTTCCCATGCTCCCCTCCCCCACTTCCTTCACCCAGACCACCCTAGGCCTACACTTTTGATTACATTTTAATGAATTCATCTGATCCAGGAGTTAGAAATTGCATTTTGGCACATTTTAGAAGACTCCTTCCATTACACCAGAGCTGCTGCTGATTCAATAAGCACAGAATGTCTTGTAACTTTAAAATAGCAGGACCTAAAACAGGTAATTCTTCAACTGCTGAGGCTGAAAGTTAATCATAAATGATACATAATTTAAGGGAAAGGCTGAGTCATAGCTGACACCTAAGAGCTTCACTTTCTTAAAAAACAAACAAAAACCAACCTTTGTCCTTCTTTAAGTCTGAAAAATTTAAATCTTAAGATTGAATAAAATGAAATAACATTTGAAAAGGCTATGGCCACTCATATCATTTTGCTGGGTATTTGTCAGTGCTGGAAACAAATGAGGAAACATCAAATATATACACAAAAATCATAGAATCTCAGTTGGAAGGCCTTCTAAAAGTCATTTAAACTAATGGGTTCCAGAGTGTGAGATTTCAAAAGCTTTTAAGTTAAAATGTCAACTTTAATTTTGTCAAAGAATATTAACAAAACAGCTACCTACCATTAACACCATTTTATAAAACCTCAGCATAAAGTACAACTTTATTTTTTAAAATTTATTTATTTATAAATATATTTTTATTGATTTCAGAGAGGAAGGAAAAGGGAGAGATAGAAACATCAATGGTGAGAGAGAATCATGGATGGGCTGCCTCTTGCAAGCCCCTACTAGGGATGGAGTCCACAACCCGGACATGTGCCCTGACCAGGAATCCAACCCTGACCTCCTGGTTTCAAGGTTCACGCTCAACCACTGAGCAACACTAGCCTGGCTACTTATTTATTTTTAAATATGTTCCTATTGATTTTTGGAGAGCCCTGAACAAACCCAGCCAGTCCTGGGCTGCTTTTCTCTACCTCTCCACCAGGGGCGACAGCTCCTTTCAAAACAAGTTGAGCTGGACTAGGTCAGTCGAGGGCGGAGGGAGTGGCGGAAAGATCAAAGGTTTAAAACCGCTTCAGAAAGCAAAGGTCAATAATAGCCAACTCCAAGACCTAAAGCTTACACCTTACAAGAGAAATGGAGGTGACTCCTCTCTTAACTGCTCTGGAGGCCTGGCGCCGCAAGGCCCTTCAGGGGCCGGGCGTTGCCGAGGTGACTAACAGGTAGCAAGAGTGGACCAGCCAACGACCGGAAGTGAAAATGAGCGGGGGGGGGGGGGGGGGGGGGGGGGGGGGGGCGGGGCGGGAACGAGGAGCTCGCCACCGCGCGCCTGCGCAGTCAGCCGGGCTGTAGTACGCATGAGCAGTTGGGCGGTGACGGGGTGACGCATGGAGCGTGAGCCGCGACTTTCACGGGTCCGGTTCCGCCCTCTTCTCACAGCCGACCCTCCGGGGCTAGTGCCGAGACGCCTTTCCCAGAGTGCTCTGCGCCGTGAAGAAGCGGCTGCCGGGGACTGGGGGCATTTTGCGTTGGCTAGAGCCGGAGTAATAAGATGGCGGCGTCGGCGGAGTGACAGGGGTCCCTCCGGGCGGGAGCCGGCGGCAGCGGTATCACCGCCCTAATTCACCGCGCCCCTTTTCCAGCCCGCGACGTCGCCGCGAGAGCGAGGCCAGTGGCGGCCGCCCGGACACAAGTGGCCCAGCCTGGGAGCCGCGAGAACCCCACTTGAAACTGCAACCTAGCAGAAAGAAACCGGACTGGGCGGCGGCGGCGATCGGGCTCCCGTCGGCGGATTCGGGGCCCTGTGACGCCAGAAGCCGACGTGCTCGGTCCCCTGCCGCCTTCCTCCGCAGCCGTGCTCAGGGGACCAGCCCAGAGGCCCGCGTCCTCCTCTCCGGGGTGTCGGGGCTGGGCCCCAGCCTCCGCTTCTGTCTCCCACGATGGCGAGCAGCAGCGGCTCCAAGGCCGAGTTCATTGTCGGAGGGAAATACAAACTGGTACGGAAGATCGGGTCTGGCTCCTTCGGGGACATTTATCTGGCGATCAACATCACCAATGGCGAGGTAATCTCCCGGGGTGGGGTTCGCGACGACGCCGCGCCCGCCGTCCTCACCCCCCGCCCCAACCGCTCGGGCCTTTCCGCCCCCACCCCCACCCTCACCCCCACCGCAGGCTCCGGGGTCCAGAGGGAGCCCGCTTCCCGGCTTAGGAACCTCTCCCACGCTTTTGCCCTAAAAGGGAAAGACCACGATAGAAAGCTTGGGTGAACTGGGAAGTTTCCCAGGATTGTTGTAATCTGTTTTACCGTCGTTTAAGGTGAAAACAGCAAAACCTTTTTTTCCAGCGATATATGTCCATAAATTATATATATATATAATTTTTATATATATTATTTTTTAATTCGACTGGGCTTCTTGTTCTAATTAGGACGGCTTCCGATCGCCCGGTGTCTTCTAACCCCTCATTACGCTTTCTGCATGAATCATTTCCCTGCACTTGAGAGAGGACGTGCGGCTTTCGTCACTGCCCCCCTGCGAAAAGGCCTTTGAGGCTGGAGCCTCCTTTTATAATCCTGACAAAGAGCGCTTTCTCCCCACCCCCACCCCCCCTCCCTGGCCTCCCTCTTTCACCTTCTGGTCACGAGCTGGAGCTTTTGCTCATGTCTCCCTTCCTTTGCGAGTGACATTGAGCCCACGGGGATGTTGATGCCATTCTCCCCTCTCCCCTCCGCAGGAAGTGGCAGTGAAGCTAGAGTCTCAGAAGGCCAGACACCCGCAGTTGCTGTACGAGAGCAAACTCTATAAAATCCTTCAGGGCGGGGTTGGCATCCCCCACATACGGTAAGAACCCCAAGCACACGCACCGGTCGGGAACGGGGCGCAGTGGCCGAGGTGCATCCGGGCCCTGGGATTTGAGTTCTACCTGGGTTTGCCTTGAGCCAGGGGTTGCCTTTGAACTGTTCGTCACCACCATCACTGAGTGCATTTCAGTTTGTCAACCTAATGTCGGTTTCCAGTGGATTACACCCTGCTTGGTTTTAGCTGCCGTCGTCCTTCCCGGGGCACTGCGGGTCGGGAGCCTGCGGGTGAGCTCTGGTCCCTGCGCCGCAGGGTCGGAGGCTGCTCCCCTCCCTCCGCCCGACACCCCGGATGCGCTAGGGGTGTGCAGCGAGGAGGGCTTGAAGGTGCCGAGGGGAGCAGCCCGGCCCGGCCCGCGCGGGCTGCTATCGGAGCCGGCCTGGGAAATGGCTGCTCTTTTGTTGTGTTTTTGTTCCAACATGTCTTCCTCCTCCGCTTAGAAAATGGCGGAGCGACGTGACTCAACCGCATTTTCCTGCCCTTTTCTCTGCGTGGGGTTCCCAAGTGAAGGTGCCCGGGTTCCCCCGAGGGCAGTCCTGAGTGGATTAAACCTTTGAAAAGCCAAGAAGAAAGCTGCGGGTGGTGGTGGGGGTTCAAGAAAGGAGGTGGCATAATGACAGTCTGATCTCTGCAGCAGATGCGACGTGAAATTACTAAATTATACTATAGGAAGCCCTTCCCAAGGTGTTAATTTACTCTCAAGAATGACAGGGTTGGCTACATTTCAGTCTGTGCACTAAAATTCTGTGGATAATGGCAAAGGCAGTTGGAGCGCAGCGCTGTGTTGAAATGCATACTCAGATCTCAGTTGTATTAAAAGAAAGCTTGATCACAAAACCACAGTTTGATAAGTAACTTGAACCTGTTGAATTGTCAGTAACTTGCCAGTCACATCAGGGAAAATGTTTAAAGGGTTTTAGAATAGTTTGGCTTTTGGGATTAAAGAGTCCTTTCCTAAAATAGATACTAAAAGATAGCTTAAAACCCAGCTCTTCTCCAGCAATTACTCAAAAATAACAAAAAGATCCAGGGGTAGTTGAGAATTAAGTGGAATTGATATGTACTGTGGCTTCAATTTCCAATATTTATTCCTCCAATCTTGAATTAAGAACTAGATTACATACATTCATTCTGATGTGGAAACAATCAAATTAACACTATCCTGAAATAATTTTGATAGACATTTTAAACGGAGAAATTGAATAATGAAATGTTCTGTTTGGTTGTTAAGTGATAAAGTAAATTATTTGGAAGAAAATGCCAGGTTTATCTTTTGAGATAAAGATTAATGTGAAATCTAAAATGATCCAGAATTGAGATTTTAAATTATTCCCATCCCTAAAAAACAGAAAACACCCTGCTTTGTGTGAAAGTAAGTTTGTTACTGTGGAAGAATGAAATTTTTTATTTAAATACCTCCGTGTTTTCCTTCTCAAAGAAAATGTCAATTGCATTAGCCTAAAAATGTTAAACTCTTTTCCCTTCGCCTGAAATCTGTCCATCACTGGCACCCATTGATTTGCTTTCATCACTAGTTTTTCCTGGAGTTTCCTGTAAATGCAATCATACTAGTATATGTGTCTGGCTTCTCTCACTTAGCATAATGCTTTTTAGATTTATCCATTTTGGGATATCTTGTAAAAATCACAAATCAGGTTGAATTTAATATATCTGGAATCATTTTCAAAAGGCATTTTTTTAAAAAGCATTAAGCACCTGGCATTTTCAGTGCTAAACCCAAATTAAGTACATGCCCTTTTATCCAGTAGCTTTTATTTAATAATGACACTGGTACCTAACAAGAGTAATGGTTAATATACTGAATAAACAATGAGTAAAGGAAATTAACTTGTGAACAAACTAATAGGCATCTATTGTAAGATGTGTACAGAGAGTTGTAGTTATAAACTGTGGGTAGAACTGGAGAGATTAACCTGGCTTTCAAGTTAAGGCTTTCTGGGAGAGGAGATGGGATTTCAGGATCTGGCTCTAGGAGAGCTTGGTGAACTGGTTGGGCCAGGCATCCAAGAATAGAGAGTGGCTTCTGGGAGTAGTCTCAGTCAGAAATGTGTAATTGGATGAGGGTGGGGAAGGAGTAAATTTGTTTTAGGAATGGTACGTAGACACAAAAGTGGTTCATTGGTTTTAAGTGTGGGAATTGTTTTCCCACTGAAGCAGTAAGGACTAAGGAAGACTTAGTTAGGAAAGTCTGTCTTTGGTCGGCAGTTTTTCCCCACATTACCTACACAGCATATACACTCAATAAATATTTATTTGGTAAATAGTGAATTAAACTGACTTCAGCTAGATTGAATAAGGCAAACTATATTATCCTTTGTTTTAGATGTGTTGATGTGTTGACACCCCCTAACTCCCATTTTTAATATACTCTGATAGCTCTGAAAAAAAATAACTGCAAATTACCTGACCTACATAGCAGATCTGCCTAATCAGGTCCCCTTACCTAGTAAGGACCTTATTAAAGTATTGTTACCTAGAGACATAGCATCCAGTGTAAAGAGCAAGAGTGAGAGGATGACATTCAGTCTCTTGATATTTTTAAGAATCTGAAATCCTTGGACCTTGTGAATTGGCCTCTGGAAACTCAATTAAAATTACTGTGTTTCTGTTATAACACTCTCTTTCTTTGTGGCACTCTGAATGAATGTGTTCTCCAAAGAAACAGTTATGGTATAACCAAGCTCTAGATCTGCCATGTGTAGACTGAGTAATCTGGGGTTAGTCGGTGCCTTAACCTCTTTGGGCCTATAATTTTCTTACATCTGTGAAATAAAAAGGATATTACCAACTTAGTAATTTTCTAATTTTGTTAGAGTGGGAAAGGAGAGTTGTGGACAGAAAGGTTTAAGGTTTCCTACTCTTTTAGAAAAAGTTTTGCATA